CCTTACTCCCTGTTTCCCCATCCCCTCCCCCCCCTTCTGCCACTCCATCTCTCCTGCTCTGAGCTCTTCTGGGGCTTCCGTCTAGCGCTCTACAGGCTGCTAGCGCTAGAATCATGCCCACCACGACCTCCACTGATGCCCCCAGGGTCGTCTGATTGATGAATTTCCATATGTACATTTTCGTCTGCCCACCAAATGCAGTTCATTCAAAGGCTCCATATTCATGATTCGACGACACTCGAAGTGCTTGTCAACTGTACCAGGGGCCCCAAACAACCAGATGATATCTTTCTTTCTTTTTCCTTGTTTCTAGTTTTCTTTTTTTGTCTCGTTTCGGCTGTGCTTCTGGGCCCTGAAGGTCTCGATATCTCTCTCTCTCTCTCTCTCTCTTGTTGCTGGGCCATCCATTTTCGCATTGCATCGCTCGCATGCATGTACTCCGTTCGTTTCCTTTCCCCTGTGGTCTGTGCTCACCACCATGTCTTTAAATGAAGAAGAGAAATTACATTGTCGTTAGCAGTGCACCGGCACAACAAGGGGGCACCATTGCGATCCTTCTTTGAGCAAAAGGGAGCGCCACGGAATACTGCGATCCACGTTCTTCGCTTGATCGTCCGGGGGTCAAAGCACTGTATTCGAAATTTCGACCATAATACCTAATCAATCAACCTATCCCCAAATATAATCAATCACCACCCAACCAGCCCAACATTGGCCGACCGTAAGTAATGTAGTTTTGGGCCGAACCAGATGTATGAGCGGACGTGACCGAAAGATGAGAGAGGGTCACAGAGTATTACTATTATCTACCTAGGTAACCTCCCCCCAAGCGAGTAACAGATTTGATTATGCCCAATGACCGATGATTGCCTTTTTGTGATAATCGAATGTTTCACTATTTCCGTAACATTTCTATCCGTCTTCCGTGACATGTGGCTCTTTGGTGGGCTAGATGCTTGAGGATCGACACATTTTTCAACGGCCATCCTCATTTTGACATTAGGGCATGAAGTGCGGTCAAAAAGATGCCTGCTTGAATGGGATGCATTTGGAGAATTCCCGAGTCGTTGACAGTCATCAGTCCACCTCGATCTGTCTCTGTCCCTGTTATCTAGTACGGAATATATTCCATTTTCGAACGGGCGGGAGCACAGGATATACGTACAACGTATGCGTGTATGTCGTACCTACGTATGTGTGTGCAAGTATGTATGTATGTCTATGTGTGTGTGTGAGTGTGGCCAACTTATTTTTTTTTGACGCGCGCGTGAGCAAAGAATGTGCGTCCTTCCTGGTCTTCTCGGCACGGCATCCTGAGACTGTGTGAGTTGAGTAATGTTTGTCATGGATCTCATGTTTTTACATATCAATTTGAAAAACTTTACCTCCTACCCTGGACAGGTTTCGCAGATAGATCTTCAATTGTTCACGCAAGCAAACGGTCCTTCTCTTGGACGAATTCAATACTAGGACGTAAATCTACGTTATTTGCATACCCACTCCTTCTTACCTACCTGGGTCTGAGATGCGATGTACGTATTCCATGACCTTCTTCACCCTCCCCTCTATCCTTTTTTTTCCCAGTTCGAAACATGAAATGGGAAGCACAAACCCGCCCGCCGTTCCATCTGCATGTACCGATATCTATGCAGGACTCATTGCAGTGGTTTCTGCACCTCTCCTGCACCACCTGGTCATGGAGTTGCATTTTGCAATTCATGCTCTAGGTGGTCTGCATCGAGTACAGGTACAGCAAGCAGTCGGGTGAAGTGCCCTGGCTTGGCCTGGGGGTTGGGAAGGTTGTAGCAGGGGGGATGAATTTTGGGGGGGGTTTCCAGTTGAGTTGATCCATGGAATTGATTGAATGAATGCCGCCTGAGGTACGGTAGTAGATGAATGCATGTGAGCCAGCCAAAACCAGTCATGGAATACTAGACCAGACGCACCAAGAGCAGAAGTTTCCGTAGCGGTGACTCAGGGTTGAAGTACCGATATGCAGGTTGAGAGCAGTGTTCCCTAACCTACATTAGTGGCCCGTTGGCCGCCGAAACACGTTTATTTTGGACGCTATAACTGGACCTCTAGCCTTTGTGATATGCGCGCCATGTGACTTCGAAATTTGGTGCTAAAATTGTGGTGGAGCAACCTTCTTGAGCCTTTCGTGTCGATCAAAGCTACATATGTACTCTTTGAGATGAAGGGACTCTCGCAAGCCCGAACACGGTTTTCCATGGACCTTTTCTGCTGCGCGGGAAAATTCTGATAGGCAAGCCCAGCCCTGGCTATTATGGGATGGATGGATTTGATGGATGGATTCATTCAACCTCTTTTCGGTATCTCTGCCTCTTTTCTGCTCTCTTGGGAGCGCCGATCAGATGCCACCGCATCGCGCAGGAGAAAGGAAGGCCCAGGGACACAGGAAGCAAATAACGGGTCCTCCATCTTCATCAATCTCGACGTATCCACAGACCACTCTGAGGATCGTTTGGAAGAAACACAGATCACTGCCTGGGGTCGCTGGGCGGATCCCCCGTATCTACGCTACCTGGTAGGGAGGCTATTTGGTTCCTGATTTACCTCGTACGTACGCCACAAAGTGGAAAGAAACAATGTGGACATTATCAATGATGGGCGCCAGCTCGAGCCTTGACCTGACCATCGCGCGGCGCTTCCAGAAGTTCCAAAAATTCCATGAACCTCAACAAAACAAGCCAGAAGAATGAAAAATAACAAAGCAAAAAGAATCCTCGCTTCAGGTGAATATTCGTCGCGCCGTCACCGCTCGTCCTCGATAATTGGTCAGCCGGCAGCTTGCCCGGCGCATTGAAAGGAAATTAGCTCCATCGAAGCACAGTCCAGACTCGACAGGGGTGTGTCAGTGCATCACCATACTCACTACCGTACCTACCTTACATACTATTTACCTTATTCACCCAGCTACATAGCTTCATATGGTACTTTGAGCGGTGCACTACGTACTTCGTACCAGCCCTTTGAACATTTTATCTATCGAATTATCAATCTCCTAAGACGATGACCGACCCATGCTGACCAACTGAAGCTTTAATATCAAGTCAAGTCCACGCATCCAGCGGATGCTCAGAGGTTCGGACCTTTTCGAGGTTTTCTTGCCTCTTGCCAACGAGCGGATGTCCAAAGCCAGCCAGCCTTATCACTCACTCACTCATCCTCTCGACCGACATAGATCATCCATTCGTCGTTGGTCAGCGAGCTTGCTGTCAGCAATACCCATACGCCTACGCAGTATATGCACCAAGCTAGACAAACCACGCCGTCCCTTGCGCCGCGCTCTCCTTAAGCCTGGTCCCCCGTCAGCAGAAACAAGAGAGGCTCCCCACATGCATATCGCGTTATCAAGAAATACATCCATCCCATATATTTTGGTGGCAGCTAGCTGGGCGGGCATATGAAGGGAGCTTTGGGCAATTTAGGCAATGGCTCTTTTGGAGCTCCAGTTTCCAGCTCCAGCTCCCACAACTTTTTAGATTGCGGGCGCTACTGACACGCATTAGGTCGGAAAGGGTACTTTATTTCATCCCACCTTTTTCATTGCGACAACGCGACTTGCGTAAGACGACAAGACGAATGTACAGCGCCGTGCGCATCAGACGCAAAGAAAAACGAGATGCTCTTTCAGACACTTTCATAGTTCTCATGTCTGATCAAGCTTCTGCTCTCAGCAAGCAGAGGCACGACTTCAACGACCCGAATCGACGAACAAGCCGGCTGCTCCCACCAAGGTAGCGATTCCGCGACCAACCACCCTGCTGATCGGCATAATTGGTTGTTGTGCAGCTCTCGACGATCTAAACCAAGAAAAGAAAAAAGAAAGAAAATACCAAAGTCTACCTGACCCAACAACTTTTTTCCACGACGGAGCCAAGGAGTAGACATTGGAGACGCAACAGCATGGATCTCGACATGTTTGACAGCACCTCTCTTCTGCCTTCCCTTTCCCCCCTCTACCTAGCCCACTCAGGTAGGAGATTTGAAACGAACAAGAGCAAATTGATGATGCAGCTTGTTTTAATGCGTCGCCAGTCCCCCGCGGAACCTGCGGTCTGAAATTGATACGCATCGCATCACTTGCGCACCAGATTGCAGCACACAATCAGCCGTTGCTACGACTGGCTGGCTGAATTGTTACCTAACGCCCAGCATGATTTAACTTCTGCCGGATATCCTCAGCCACCAATTCGTATTTGATACAGTTACTGCAAATTCACTTC